GCACGATGTCGTCTGCAAAGCGGAGGTGATGTAGGAAGCGGCCGTCGACCTTCACCCCCAAATCGTCCCATTCCAAATGACGCATGATATTCTCGAGGGCGGCACTGAAAAGTTTGGGCGAAATAGTATCGCCTTGCCGAACACCTCTCTTCACGTTGACAATGACTTCCTTATAGAATGGTGAAATCCTGGTCGTGAAGCTGTCGTAGAGCTCACGAAGCATCCTTATATATTGCGTAGGAACACCCTGGTTGCCCAGGGCTTCAATTATCGCTTCTGTCTCAACGGTGTCAAAGGCTTTCTTCAAGTCGATAAACGTAAGACATAGTGTGACGACAACGTCAAGATTAATGAGGTATCGATGAGGACATGATCTGCGCGAAACGCGCGCCAAACGCGCTTATAAAAGAGGCACGCAGAGGACAACGACATGACATTTTTTTCTTGCTTTTTTATTGATTGTAGGAGCCTTTTTTTCTTTATTGTATTCATTTGTATTTCGTTATTGTATTTTCGGGTTTAATTACCCAAGTTTGAGGTCTGGAGGTTTATTGTTGATAAAACTGGTGCTTATCGGCGCGTCTAGTGTGGATCTCCTCGAGTTTCGATTGCATACCTATTTCGCATTCCTACCACTGAAATTCCGTCATGGTGCATCAGGACGAGTCCAGGCTGATCCAGTGAGTTTTAAAACTTGAGTTTTTACCTAGTTGACTGGTATTTCGGATATCATTATTTTGTACCTACCCGATACATTTCAATCGCGTAGTAGGCACTTTTTCTTTGCTGCAACGTCAGTTACGCAATTTTGGTCACTGACAATTTGAGCAAATCGTTTACTCGAGTTATATTCAGTATGTCAGCTAGGATACCCTCCTACAAACGGCAGCTTACTCTGTTTACCAAAATTAGGTTCACTTTTGCAACGGTATCAGGAAGAAAAAGTCGAGTTGCCTAGAGTCGCAGACGATCAATCCCCTATTGATTACCCAGACCATCATAGACAGGTAGAGGAGGCTCTAGGGGCAATTCAAACTTGCGTAAATCACATCGAAAGTATCTTGAGCAACTACGCCACCGCTCTAGACTCGCTTCAAGGACCCACCCAAAAGGAGTTTGAAGTTTATGACGAGTATGCAGCGAAAGCAGATGAAAGACTTTCGGAAGCGCTTGACTATCTCGTACTTCTAGAAGCTAGATCGCGTGCACTGCGCTCGTTTACTGATAATCACCCAGTTCAAACTACAGTCGCTGCTCCATCTCCATCACAAAATCAGTGGGATAACGGGCCACGAATTAGGAAAATGGAGCTTCCAACGTTACCAGTCCCCACGTTTCGTGGAAACATTTGGGAGTGGGATAACTTTTGGTCATTCACTTTTGGCAACATCCATTCACAACCGCTGCCCGAGCTATATAAATTCAACTATTTGTTGAATGCGCTTAAAGGCGAAGCACTCTCAACTATCAAAAAGTTTCAAGTGTCGCCTGAAAACTATTCTAAGGCCGTTGAATTCTTGAATTCTAAGTACGGCAATTCAGAAGAATTAATAAATCGGCTTATAGATAGAATAGATAGAATGCAGTTAAGATCTTTGAGTTTGCGGGATCAACGAGTTTTCTTCGAAGAAATTCAAGTCATAGTTTCTCAATTGAAACAAAAAGGCGAAAACGTTGATAGTCAATGGTTACTAAAGCAAGTGCTTTCTAAATTTCCTTTGGCAACCCAACGTAGGGTACTCGAGAAAAAACACGCGTTACCACACGAGACTCGCTTTGAAATGGATATCTTGATAAAATTCCTAGAGGACGCTATCTCGAGTGAAGAAACGATTTCGCTGTTCACGGGACAGAGTCAAGAAAATAGGAATCATCCACAGCACGTAGAAAGGAAAGAATATCCACATGCCAACGGGTGCATGTACTGCCGTGGGGCTCATAAATCTGCAGTGTGTGCTACCTATAGACTTCCCAGGAACGGTCGCGTTTCTTACGAGAGCACAATCTCTGTATGATTTGCGCGTCTCCAAAACATGCTGCGCCGCAATGTAAGAAGCGTTCGTGTTTTATATGCCAAGGGGCTCACCATACTTCTTGTTGCTTTAAAAACGTAACAGAACAGAGGACCCCCGCTCAGACACATGGTCCACAAAACTCACAACAAAGGATGACGCGTGCGCAAACCTCAAGTAACGCTTCGAGAAATACGCACAGGCCCACCTCGAATGTTAATCAGGTTTACAAGCACGAGGACATGGAACATATATCATGGATCCGAAGCCACCAAACGCCAGAGATAATCGACGAAGCTCCCAAATCAACAGTGGATACAGCAATCTGTGAACTCCACTCAGCACAAAAAGGTCGGAAACCAGTTCTACTTTCCTACCCACCGGAGAGCTGACCAACTTCGATCCTTCTTCCAAAAGTCTAAAGAAAGTTGCGGTCTTGTTGGACACAGGAGCAGAACTCTCCTTCATCGACGACTCGTTAGCAGAGGAACTAGGATTACGAACTATAGAGGAAACCAAACTAAGGCTGCATACCTTTGGATCGAACGAAATCCAAGAAGTGCCAAGCCGACGAGTACAGCTGAATACATGGGACGAGGACGGACAGCCTCTGAGTCTGACTCTGCACACGCATAAAATTCTGACCAAAGAGCTGACTGCTCCATCAATATTGAAGGAAGATCTAGACTACATAAAATCACGGAACATCAATATTCAAGTCGGCGAAAACTACGGGCAAGTGAAACCTCTCATATTACTTGGCTGTGATCAAGTCTGGTCGCTTATTAAAGAAGGAAAATACCATGTACAGCTACCTTCTGGACTGCATCTTGTGCAAACGCGTCTAGGACAACTAGTCACAGGAAAGCTCGGTACTTCGCGTCCAAACACTCACACGTCCCAACTGCTCGCGTTGTCAAACAAGTGGGAAGAGTGTTGGTCTCTGGATGCGAGTATTGGTGTGGTGTCTCGAGATTCAGAGCCGACTGAGGAAGAGGAATTGTGGATGAAGTATTGGGAGCTTGACAGAGCAGGCACCGAGAAATTCAGCGAATCAGAAGAAAAGGTCCAGCAGATGTTGGATCAACAAGTGTGGAATCGATTCAAAGAAACGGTCGAGATAAGAGAGGACGGATATTACGTACGCTTGCCTTGGAAAGAAGACTGTTTATCTCTGCCAGATAACCGAGCAATTGCGTATCGACGCTTAGTCAGTACATGGTCTTCACTCAAAGACAAAGGATTGTTGGACCAATACAATGAGGTTTTTCAAGATCAACTCAGGCAAAATATCATTGAAGTAGTGAACGAAGAGGAACGTGTACCGGGTCGAGTACACTACATACCCCACCAGGCGGTCCTTACTCCTTACAAAAACACAACAAAATTGAGGATCGTCTTTGATGCGTCGGCCCGCTACAAAAACGCGAGTTCTTTAAACGACAATTTGTACAGAGGACCGGTGATCCTCCCAAGTTTGCATGGTCTTCTACTTCGCTTCAGATTCGGGCGGATTGCAATGATCGCAGACGTAGAGAAAGCGTTCCTGCAGGTCCATCTCCAAGAAATTGATAGAGATGCAACACGTTTTTTCTGGCTACGGAATCATAACAAGTCCCCCAGCCAGGAAAACATCCAAACTTATAGATTCACACGCGTGACTTTTGGACTTCTCTCATCACCTTTCCTCCTAGCAGCTACAATATGCTTAACCTCGACCAGTACCAGGGGAACGAAGAGCTAGTGGAAGCAGTCAAGGAAAATCTCTACATAGACAACCTTCTTCTATCATCTGACACACTAGATGAAGCAATGAAACAGTACTCGCGTACGAAACAGATTTTCAACGAACTCCACATAAACCTCAGGGAGTACGTTTCCAACAACCAAGAACTCATGACCAAAATCGCAGATAGAGACAAATCCCTCGATACCTCTCCAAAAGTCCTTGGGATCGTATGGGATTCCAGAGAGGATAACCTACACATCACCTGCAGCATCCCCATTCAAGCAAAAACGACGGAACGAACCGTAGCGAGCACTATAGCGTCCATCTATGACCCAATGGGTTGGATGCTCCCACTGGTTCACAAAGCTAAGATTTTTCTGCAGTCGCTTTGGAAAACTACCCGCGACTGGGATACCCCACTTACGGAGGAAGAATGTGAGAAATGGAAACGACTATGTGACGGAATCAACGGATTCCACAAGAAAATCGCGCGTTTCCTAACCACCAAGCGTAGTCGAGTGAACCTTATAAGCTTCGCGGACGCAAGCAGCGAGGCAATGGCTACCTGCGTCTACTTGAGAACAGAAAACCTAACTCACCTCTTGATGGCTAAAGCTAAGCTACCCTCGGTCAATTCAAAAATTACAGTACCTAAACTAGAGCTCAACGCCATGACCTTAGCAATGCGCTTGACTTACTGGATTATCAATCAATTACAATCAGTAGTCACAATCAACCGTGTACTTGTTTTGAGCGATTCCGAGATTGTATTAAATTGGATCAAATCGAGGGTACGACACGATGCTGGACCATTCATAAAAAATCGCGTTAATGAGATCCAAGAAATCGCTAGCAAAATCAAAGGGTCACGTTGTCCTATTCAATTGGGCCACATATCCTCACAATCCAATCCCGCAGATTGCGCTACAAGAGGGTTGGATAAACATGAACTCGTCGACCACTTCTGGTGGATGGGACCTGAATTTATCCGCGTTCCAGAGGCAAACTGGGATGACTTATTTAAAGCAATCGTAATCGAGACCACCTTCGATGATGAGAAGGACGAGTTAGTCCCCAAAATATGCTCACTAGCGGTCGACACTACCATGAATCCGAGCAACATAGACCCAAAATTCTTCCAGTCAATTCGAGTGCAAATTTTACCCGATGTTAAACGAACGGTAGCATACCTTATGAGATTCATTCGAGTCCTCTCAAGATGAGTGAGAAGTAAACAGAAGGCTCACGCTGAGCCGTTTATGAAACTTTCGGCACTTTTCGAAAATTGTAGAGAGGACGACATGTCAGCTAATTTGAGAGGCGAAGAAATAGCCCTAGCAAGTAAAATGCTCGTGAGACAACATCAATTGACGAATCTTACTCCTGATGTCGTCAGAATGCTTCACCATTTGAACCTCTACAATGACGAGTTTGGAATATGGCGATGTAGGGGCCGCCTAGGTAACAGCGCTCTTGGAGATGATGCGAAGTTTCCCATGCTTATTTTGCAAAAATCTTGGCTATCAAAGTTGATTATCAACGACTATCATAGCAAAGGTCACCCTACTATAAATCATACGATGGCACTCATCCGGCAGCACTACTGGATCCCCAAGCTACGATCGCAAGTTACGGTAGTTATTCGCCGCTGTGTTCAGTGCCAAAGGTTCAACAACCTACCATTCAAATACCCGGAGCAGAGCGACTTGCCTTCGAGACGAGTGCTACGATCACGTCCAATTGATCATGTCGGACTGGATTATTTCGGACCACTAACCATCAAAAGAGAAGATGGATCCACGGGAAAATGTTACGGCTGCATTATCACCTGCCTCACAACACGCCTACTCCATCTGGATGTCGCTTCAGATCTCTCCACCTACGCTTTCATCCAGATGCTTCGGAGGTTCTTTGCAAGAAGGGGAACACCGTCAACCATAACTAGTGACAACGCACCGACTTTTACGCTGGGTGATTCTGTTCTGCAAGATTGTATAAAGAAGGTTCAGAACGACCCGAAGATCGCGAAAATGGTAAGCAACAATGAAATTCGCTGGAAATACATAACTCCTTTCGCACCTTGGCAAGGAGGCGTTTATGAGCGCTTGATAAGATCAGTTAAACTAGCTCTCTTTAAGTTTCAAGGGAGGTCAGTTCCATCTCACGAAGAACTCCTTACTGTCCTTACGGAAATACAAGCTATGCTCAACACCAGACCGCTAGTTTATACCGAGTCAGGACCGCGAGAAAATAGCACCCTGCGACCGATCGATTTTTTACAAAACAACTTCGAAGTTCCGCTTTACTCCAATTCGAGTTCAGAACCCAGTGAAGATCCGGCTTACCTATCTGCAAAAGAACGCATAACATTACAGTCGAAAGCGCAAGTGATTGAAGCTTTGAAAAGTTCGTGTGAGATGCCAGAAAAATTCTGGCAAACATGGCAGACAGAGTACTTGACTTCGCTACGGGAACGACACCAACGAGAAGTTGGGAAACAACGAGGAAGTAGCTATGTCCCAAAATTAGGCAAAGTAGTCCTTATCAGCGACGCACTGCAACCTCGGCACAGCTGGAAAATGGGACGTATCGAAACCCTCGTTTCAAACCCTGAGGGAATAGTAAGAGAAGCAGTCGTTCTCCTCCCATCTCATCGTAAAATTCGAAGGCCTTTGAACCTGCTGGTCCCCTTAGAAATCGACGAGGATTTTCAAAACGAAGTGAACACGGGAAAAGGCCCTGACGATGTAGAAACGTCGGAAATGAGATCTAAAAGCAAAGACAACCATACCGAAGAAATGGGCTCACGATACAATCTCCGCTCAAAACAACGCGTGAACTATGCAGAAAACTTTGTAGGCATAGCACGAGTTAGACCGCATCTCACTATAGCCTTAGCACTAAGTATATTTACCATCTTATCTGCGGCAGTTCCTGACGGAAGACCCACCCTCACAGGCGAAACTTCCGCAAATTTTGTAAGAAGTCCTACACTTGGTATAGAAGTTCCTCATTCGATCGAGACTGTAAGAGAAACTAAGCTGGAACTAAGTATCCCTCGAAAATTTGGAGGTATCCGCGTTTTCTCTCATGTTACTCACCAGGGTCGTCACGAAAGAAATAACTGGAAACATGGTAATAACTGCATGATATCAACGATTGAAGGTGTGAGCATACGCGTTAATAAAAGAGCAATCAACATAATTTCTATGGTGCCCAGCTTGAGCTTCTTTAAATTACAAATTTTCGGGCACGTCACTACACCTCGAAACTTTTCTGATCCATTTTCCTTTTGCAAGAAAATTTGTCGAGAAGTCAAAACTATCAAATTTAAGACAGATAGCAAAATTCTAATTAAAACGAGTCAAAAGCCCACAACTCGCACTCTACCACTTTTCAGGCTCGCGAGTGAGGAAGAAGAAGGAGACATCAAACTTCTGATCGATCTTACAAGAAAACGAGTTCAGGATCAAAAGCAAATTCGGACGGAAATCGACATGGCAGCGATATCGCTTCAACGCCAGAAGAAGATTGCAACCACGCTGGTGACGCAGTGGAATCATCACAAGAACGAGGATTCATTCATCAGCGCTTCGGCTGCAGAACAGATGCGTCTTACATCCCAACTACTACGCCAGGCCGAGGTGACGAAGGAAAGAATCCTTCGCATGGGAACCCGCTACCTCATCATGGATTTATGGCACGAGGATATGACAGAATGGGGAGACGTTTCTGGTTATCAGCGGCAAGTCTGGCTCAAACGTGAGCGCGATTACGCTTTTGGATCGAGAGCCATCATCGAGTTGATTAAGAACCAGTGTGAAATCCTGAACATCGCGATTGAAGACATGAAGGCAATGTTGCAACGTCAGGAAAAGGAACTGACGGAATCAGATCGTCTCACGAGTTTCCATGTACAGGGAATCCTTAAGAAGGAAATTGAGTCGTTGCAAGAGCATCTCAACCACCGCTCGGATGTAGACGTGCTAACGAAGAAAGTCGAGTCCCAAAGCTTGGAGATTGCTTCCATCAAGTCGAGCTTGAGGACCGTGGAAGTGGTCACTGCACCGACGCCCATCGAGCAGAATGAGAAGTCCAATCAAGAGGTCAAACTTGTGGAACTTGTCGAACCGGAGGTGCGTGAAGTTGAAGAAAGGGAAAACTATGAAGATTTAGAGCTCGTCGAAGAAGATGATGATGATGATGATGAGAACCACTTCAAAAGGATGGTGAACGAAGTCACGGATGAAAATGTGACTGGAGGAAATTGGTCCAAGGACGATGAACCGGCATCTAAAAGCAGAAGAGTCGAGTATTACGAGCCGTTGATCAACAGTCGCATTCGAATCGTGCAGGCAAAATTGCGAAGAATGGAAGAAAAAGTCAAGTGTTATCCATATCGAGATAGGCGAGACGAGTCTTTAGGAATTCCTCTTGACAGGAATTGTGTGTTTTGTGATGCCATTGGCATCCATTTTTCCGATGCCTGCCCTCAATTTCGTGATGGAAGAACGCGTTACGAGATCATCATTCAGAAAAAATGGTGCATTCACTGCCTCGAGGGTCCGGAGAGGCACCGCTACGGATATCGCTTCAGGAAGTGTTGGTATTGCCAGAGAATCAAAGGCACAGTGTTCGAAGATTTGTGCCCGAACGATAACGGATACCACCATCGAGCAGTCTGTGATGTTCCCGACATGAAGCCCATTGCTCAGTCGCGCATTGAGGACACCCAAAGGGAGTTGTTTCGACTAAGGAACAAGATGTCAGGATCTCATGGAGGAGACCATGCTGAGCCCGGAGTGACGACAACGTCAAGATCAACGAGGTATCGATGAGAACATGATCTACGCGAAACGCGCGCCAAACGCGCTTATAAAAGAGGCACGCAGAGGACAACGACATGACATTTTTTCTTGCTTTTTTATTGATTGTAGGAGCCTTTTTTCTTTATTGTATTCATTTGTATTTCTTTGTTGTATTTTCGGGTTTAATTACCCAAGTTTGAGGTCTGGAGGTTTACTGTTGATAAAACTGGTGCTTATCGGCGCGTCTAGTGTGGATCTCCTCGAGTTTCGATTGCATACCTATTCCGCATTCCTACCACTGAAATTCCGTCATAGTGGCATTTTGTACTCTTGCGATACTTCAATGAGCCTTGTTAGGGTGTGGATATGATCGATTGTACTGAACCCTCTCCGAAACCCTGCTTGCTCGCATGGCTGTCCTTCATCTAATATTCTGCCAATCCTGTTTAGGATGACAGGAGTGAAAAGCTTGTAGATTACGGACAGCAGGCAGATCGGGCGATAATTGCCAATATCGTCTGGAACTCCCTTCTTGTGCAGCAACACAGTCTTGCTAGTTTTCCACGACGGGGACACTTTGCATTCCGACAGGTACCGTGTGAAGAGCCTAGCCAGAGTTTTGATGATGACTGGTGGTATACTCTTCAGATGTTCTGATTTGATCCTATCGGGACCGGGCGCTGTACAGTTCTTCATCGACGTGATGGCGTGTCGTATTTCGGAAGGGAGAACCGAAGGAGCGATTTATTCGTCTTGCCTAAGATGGTGAGTAGGCAGGTAGACAGACGTGGCTGTCGAAGAGATCCGAGTAGAAGTCGTAGATGACCTTCTCCATTGCCCTCCGGGATGCAGTAACGGTTCCGTCAGGACGACGAAGGAAGGTCATCTTGGTCTTGTAGTTGGCGAAGCTCCGTCGGGCTTTGCGGATGCTCTTTCCGGCCTCGGCGGCTTCGTCCATGACTGCTGCTCTTCTCTCTTTCAGATGGTATACTCTTCAGATGTTCTCTCTCTTTCAGATGGTATACTCTTCAGATGTTCTGGTTTGATCCTATCGGGACCGGGAGCTGTACAGTTCTTCATCGACGTGAACAGATATATATATATATATATATATATATATATATATATATATATATATATATGTATATATAT